GCGCTTTTTCTGTTTTATTGCTACTCCATTAAAATTGAATTGACTTTTTGTTGCTTTGTTGTTGCTGGCTGGCCGTTTCTGTTGCTATTGCTGTGGTGCCTGTTATTGTTGAAAATATAATAATGGTTATTACGCTGAAACGATTGTGCGATTGTTGTTAAATTAAAAATTATTGATTATGCCGCAGTACAGCGGCGGAAAAATGTTGGTATATATAAAATTGGTTGTCATTTGAATGCATACACTTGAAATCTACGACTGGCAAAAACTAATTAGGTTGAATATTAATTAGTAAATTCTTCCGTAGTTTCCTTTCTCAAGCAATACTCAAAATATATAAAAGTTGTATATTTATTCATAACATTAATAAAATGCTGAAAACACACACAAAACAGTTTGACAGTTACAGTTAAATTCCTAGCTTTACATTTTCTCTATATCTACCGATCGCTTCTATGGCAGCTATATGACAGTTGTCCGATTTTCATAAAATGTATACCAAAATTCTAAAAATAATAGAAAAAGCTTAGTTTCTTGTTCATTTTTGTTCAAAAAATTATATAAAAACAAGAAAGAAAGCTAACTTTGGCCAGCCAAAGTTTGTATACCCTTGCATGTAACAAATGCAAAAATGCATTAATTTCGATTCGGAAAGCAGTTTTGTGTTAGTTTTTATTAATTTAAAAAAACTGCAAAGAAATTTAAAATTTTAAGAAATCAAAATTTTTGGCCATTTTTGCTAATTTTAATGATGTAACCCCTTATTAAAATTCGCAAAAATGGCCAAAAAATCGATTTCTCCCGGGCATGTCTAGAAAGATTCGCATGTTAATGCTGATCAAGAATATATATGGTTTATGGGGTCGGAAATGATTCCTTGACTTAGAAAAATATTATTTTGTATTATAAAATCGGATTTTTTATATTAAAAAACTTCTTGTTTTTTTTTAAATTAAAAATATCATAACTTGGCCAAAAGAGCATTCTGTTCTGTGCAAGATTTTCTACAGTTAATAAATCTGCATACTTCATTTAAAAATTTTGAAAATTCAATTTTTTATCAAAATCAAAAATTTTAATGATGTAACCCCTTATAAAATTTGCAAAAATGGCAAAAAAAAAAATCGATTTCTTCCTGACATATCTAGAAAGATTCCCCTGTTGATGCTGATCAAGAATATATATAGTTTATGGGGTCGGAAACGTCTGCTTCACTGCGTTGCAAACTTCTGACTGAAATTATAATACCCTGCTTAACAAAACTGCATGCAAACTTATAAGGGTATAATGACAGGTAAGTATTTCAATAAAACTGAGCATGCTGTTTTGTTAAGCTTAGAAAAAGGAACTCAAAACCGCTTTCCGAATTGAATTTCATGCGTATTTGGCTGAGTTATGATCATTGAAAATGAAATAAAATGAAAATGAGGTTTTTTTCCCCCAAAAATGATCAAAATAAATCGCACCAATTTTTCAAAAATATGTAGGGGTACCATCATTAAAATTGAGAAAAATTGGGAAAAAATGAAATTGAAAAGAGCCATAAGCGTAGTATGCAGTTTTGTTAAGCTTAGAAAAACTAACTCAGAACAGCTTTTCGAATTGAGTTTCATGCACTTTTGACTTAGTTATGATTTTTTGAATATTAATTTTTTTTTCCCAAAAACTATCCTTTGTTAAATTTAATTGCAGGAAGCTGCCAGGAACTCAAAGCGGATGCCGATGGCGAGACAGAGAGCGTTGGCAAGGAGGATCAGGACGAGGAGGAGCAGAAGCGGACCAGGTGCTGGGGCAGCACGACGAGGGTGCCACCAAGACCGAGCCGAAACCACTGGAAACGACCTCTGACATTTCCACATACCTCACCTTTTCTTCTTTTATTTATTTAAAGCTGAAGTAAATAAAAAACCTTTAAAAATTTGTTATTTTTGACTTATGAGGAGGATGGTTTTTTTTTTTTTGGTGGGGTAATTTAAACAGGCTCAATAGAAGAGCATTCTTGCGGTGGACAATGGAAAAAACATCATATATTGCAAAATTGCTAGATGAGCATCACTGGCAGTTAGTGAGATGCCATTTTGTCCCATTAATGCAAAATAGCTAGATGAGCATCACTGGCAGTTAGTGAGATTTCATTTTGCCCCAATAATGCAAAATAGCTAGATGAGCATCACTGGCAGTTAGTGAGATTCCATTTTGTCCCAATAATGCAAAATAGCTAGATGAGCATCACTGGCAGTTAATGAGATTCCATTTTGTCCCAATAATGCAAAATAGCTAAATGAGCATCGCTGGCAGTTAGTGAGATGCCATTTTGTCCCAATAATGCAAAATAGCTAGATGAGCATCACTGGCAGTTAGTGAGATGCCATTTTGTCCCAATAATGCAAAATAGCTAGATGAGCATCACTGGCAGTTAGTGAGATTCCATTTTGTCCCAATAATGCAAAATAGCTAGATGAGCATCACTGGGAGTTAGTGAGATTTCATTTTGTCCCAATAATGCAAAATAGCTAGATGAGCATCACTGGCAATTAGTGAGATGCCATTTTGTCCCAATAATGCAAAATAGCTAGATGAGCATCACTGGCAGTTAGTGAGATTCCATTTTGTCCCAATAATGCAAAATAGCTAGATGAGCATCACTGGCAATTAGTGAGATGCCATTTTGTCCCAATAATGCAAAATAGCTAGATGAGCATCACTGGCAGTTAGTGAGATTCCATTTTGTCCCAATAATGCAAAATAGCTAGATGAGCATCACTGGCAGTTAATGAGATTCCATTTTGTCCCAATAATGCAAAATAGCTAGATGAGCATCACTGGCAGTTAGTGAGATTCCATTTTGTCCCAATAATGCAAAATAGCTAGATGAGCATCACTGGGAGTTAGTGAGATTTCATTTTGTCCCAATAATGCAAAATAGCTAGATGAGCATCACTGGCAGTTAGTGAGATTCCATTTTGTCCCAATAATGCAAAATAGCTAGATGAGCATCACTGGCAGTTAGTGAGATGCCATTTTGTCCCAATAATGCAAAATAGCTAGATGAGCATCACTGGTAGTTAGTGAGATGCCATTTTGTCCCAATAATGCAAAATAGCTAGTTGAGCATCACTGGCAGTTAAAGACATGAATTTTGTCCCAATAGAGCATCAATGATGCAGATGAGCATCACTGATGCAGATGAGCATCACTGATGCAGATGAGCATCACTGATGCAGATGAGCATCACTGATGCAGATGAGCATCACTGATGCAGATGAGCATCACTGATGCAAGTGTGCAAAACTTTTCATTCAAATTGGCCGCTTTCCAAACTGGGGTAACAGGCGAACAGAAATCAGCAGCAAGCAACTGAAAACTGGTATAAACTGTTATAAAAACATTTCGGCAAAAATAATAATTGGTATAAACTGTTATATTTCATTTTATGCATTTATACCTATTTGTTGCCGACAACAACAGCTTATGGCAACAACAACCTTTTTACAACAACATCCCTACAGCAGCCCATCCAAATTTCCGAACATTTCCATGCAAATTGCCCGTTTCCCAAATTGGGATACCAGGCGAACAGAAATCAGCAGCAAGCAACTGAAAACTGGTATAAACTGTTATAAAAAGTCCAAGTTTCAAACCATTTAGGAGCCGGCGCAAGTTAGCAGAGACTCAAACCCTTTGAATCCAAATTTAGGAGTTATTTTACAACTGCACCTGGGCACACTGAAACTGATCGTCGTTAAATTCAAATTCAAATTTGGCTGTTAAATTCAAATTCAAATTTGGCAGTTAAATTCAAATTCAATTTTGGCAGTTAAATTCAAATTTAAATTTGGCAGTTAAATTCAAATTCAAATTTGGCAGTTAAAATATTTAAAAAACATTAGTTTAATTCTAAAAAAAATTCTTAAATAAATATAAAAAATCTAAAAAAATGTTAAAAATTCAGAAAAAAAAATTTTTAATTCAGAAACATTTTAAAAATTTACAACAATTACAGTGCCCTTTAAAATGAAATTTCTCTCAGTGTAACGTAAGTGGCGCCCCTGCCGTCTCAAATGCCAAGTGCAAAGTTTAATTTTTAGCCGCTTACATCTATTGGCGCTGTGTTCGTTTGTACCACAGTGGCGCCCCTGCCGGAATTTTACATTTTTACATGTCAAAGTTTGTAATAAGCCAGATCCCAACAGATGGCGCTTTATAACAGTTTTCAGAATGGCGTCGGCGGAAGATTCAATGGCGGCGGAAGAGGCAATGGCGGCGGAAGAGGCAAAGGCGGCGGAAGAGGCAATGGCGGCGACGAACGCAGTGTCTAACACGGTGGAGGACGCGGCGGAGGACGCGGTGGCGGAGGCATCAACGGCTGGCAGCGCTAGCGTCCACAGCCCACCAACAGGAGCATCATCCCGCTCCACCTGAGGCTGCGCAGCAGCAGCAGGCTAAAATGGAGATAATAAATAAATAAAAAACAAATCGTAGCGAAAGGGTTTTATTTTCTTATAACTAAGTACAATCGGTGGCCAACTTCTTCTTCTCCTTGGCCGCTATCGTTAAGCGCACTGTGTGCTCCACTTGAGGGATGGGATCCATGCCCTGATCCTGCATTCAAAAATAAAGTGATATATAATTATTTAAAAAATAATTGTATCTGTTTTTAGGATTCGCCTTGGAAAACAAGCTGGGTCAGGATTTGCTCAACTCATCGAAAATCCTGGCACAGCTGTCATCAAAGGAACCAATCTGAAATGTATTGCAATTCATAAGAGTTTCTCGTGGTAGGATGATTCACAAGGAAAATGCGGCTGAAGCTAATGGCTTTGGCAAATCGATGCTCTATGAGCAAATAATTGTTACTGATCATAAGTATTATAAGTTTCCTGTTATATTTTCTATGAATGAATCGATTCCTAATGATCCGATTGCAAACTGCAGGATATACAAACTTTTTTTCTAGTTTATATTGAGGAACCGATAAGACTTTTGAGCTTGTTTTTTCCCATCATCATTTACAAAAACCATTGACATTTATTTTATTACAAACCGCTTAATATTAGATACTTATAATTACGCAAATAAACATACTGCAAACGTGGTGCACCATCTTGGAACGTAACAAAAGGGAGTCCAAATATAATCTTAACGAAACAAAATAAAATGGCAAACATACATCGCCTTAAAGGCACTTTTATACCGACTGTTCGTCATTTAACGAAGCACACATCGTCTTCGTCACTAGAGGTGCTCATAGTTTGAATCCGACGTCGCTTGTTGGCCGGAGCTACTGGCTGTAGGTTTCCCAGTCGACGTTGGCGGCGTCGCTCCTTGAGGATGCGCTCGGCCTTCTCCAGAGGACACTCCGAAACGTCCTGAATGGTTGAGCTGTCGTCGTCAACGATAAAGGAGCAGGGCAGGTACTGGGACGCCTCCGCCTCCACTGGCTGGGAGAAGATGTGCGATTCATCGCGGTAAACCTTGGGAGCGGGCATCTTGAAGGCACCTGGCCTCTGAATGGGGCTCCTAGAAATATAAAAGGTTGAAAGACTCGCAAATGAAAGCAGTTTTCTCGTTACTCACCTCACGGCCTGCAGGTACATGGCATGCACGTTAGTGTCATTGGGATCTTCGTCATCGTCGCTAGAAACTATCACAGAATCCTTTAGATATGTGCCGATCGTAGTCTCGGCCTCCTCGTCGTGGTCTGAGCCGCTTTTATCGGCCTCATCGACAATAAACGAATTGAATTTAGCGCGCTTTTGGCGTGGCTTTGGCGGCGGTGTCGGTGTCTCCGGCTCCATTTGCGTGCAGGGAATCTGTTCGTAGTCATCAGAGTCGTAGTCGGCCACCAGGGGCTTCTTCTGCTCGTCCTCGTCGTCGGAGCTAATGACTATCTTACGCTTCGAGGGGCGACGAACAATGGGCGAATCCTCTTTTTCCTCCTCCTTGACCGAGGCATTTGCCGAGGTCAGGCGATGCAGGGACTCGGCCGCCTTGGCCAAGCGCCCGCGTCCCCGCATTCGATTGAGGTAGAGATCGAAAATGCTCGGTGATTTCTCCTGGGTCAGTGGATTGGTTTTCTCACGACTTTCCGGCGACTGAAGGTTGGAAGGAGGAGTTGGAGCCTTGGCTGCCGCTGCCTTGGCGGCCAGCTTGGTGGCGAGGCTCTTTCCGGCTGGTTTCCAAGGTGACAGCGAGTCGGAGGCAAATATATCCGGCGAGACATTGCGCGAAATGGACTTGGAGGGGGATATCAAAAGCGGCTCCTTCTCTTTGGCTTCAGTACTGGACGACTGCGGGGCATTATTCTGACCCATTAGCTCCAGTTCTTCAGCCATGGGTTCTAGGAAATCCTTCAGCTCCTCTTGACTGAGCACTTCCGCCTCCTTCTTTAGTTGGGTCAACTTGATTTCCTCATCCATTGGCTCCAGAAAATCATCCAAATCGATCTCCAAATCGTCTAGTTCGGATTTTACTTTTGGTTCTACACTGGGCACTAGGCTTTCTCCACTCTCCCCTGAGCTTAATGGATATACCTCACTCGCAGCTGCAGGTGGATTCTCTTCTCCTGCAGTTTCCGGTTCAGAAACGGATATCTCAACAGGCTCGGTTTTTAGGAGCGACTCACTGGCATTCATTAGGCAGTTCAAGCGCCCCAAGTTGTTCCCCAAGTCGGTGTTTTCGTCCTCCTGCTCCTCTGGCATTGGTTCGAACATCAGTTTGCTCAAGGGCTTTACTCTCAAAGGGGTGGAGCTATGCTGCACTGCATCCGCAGCGGACAAGTTCAACTGCTGGCTCAGGTACATAGAGTCACATTTCACATCTTCTGCTGGCTGCTCTTCCCACTCTTCTTCTGACCACGATGTCTCCGGGATTCCACGCAATTGCTCGTTGACCGTAACTTCCAGATTCCGTACATCCAGCTTCTCCAGCAGCTCTTGCTTGAGATCATAATTATCCGCGTTCAGACCTTGCTCGTCCAGGCCCTCGAAAATCGTATCACAGGTGGCCTTAAATTCTCTTTCCCTGCGTTCGTCCAGGGGATTCTCCAGCTCCTTGAAGGTGATCTCTGCCAGGGACTGCTGCTCCGCCTGCAGAAACTCCTCTAAATGGTCACTTCCCCCGCAGATGTCCACAAGGAGTTTGTAGTTATTTCTGGTCTTCTGCTGACGATTGTTCAGGCGGTCGTCGGGGATCTCCAATTGGCTTTGAAGCTGCATTTTCGAGTGGGTTTCCCTGAGGAAGAGGGGGTTGCTTTGCAGCAAGTAGAGCTTCAGGGGACGTGGCAACTGCTGATCTTGCAGATGGCAAATTAGGTCTGTCTGAGAGTCCGCCAAGACTGGCTTATTCGACTGCAGGAAGCGGGTGAGTTTTCGCAGCCGCTGCACATCCTCCTGACTGTTACTCAGAGTCGGCTTGGCAGCCTGTGTGTCTGCGAGGAAACCGTTCAGAGGAACACTGCGCCGGAACACTTCCTGCTTGACCATCCGCTGGGAGGCTTCGCTCATCTGGTAGGGCTGCATTCCCTGCGAGATTCCCAGTTGGCTCTCCGAAACAGAGACTTCCTTGAAGAAACGCTTGATGGTGCAGGCCTTTGCAATTGGTTCCTTCCGTTTCCTAGGTTCCTTGGCCTTGGCTGCTGCCTTGGCCTTGCTACCAATTGGCTTCTCCTCAACAGGCGCCTGCTCCATGTGCTTTTCCTCGCACTTTGGCTGAAATTGCGAGGGCACCATTCGCGGATTGTGCTCGTACAGCGACATTTTCACCACGGAGGAGTTCAGAAGCTTCTTGTTCATCTGGTCCTTGTGAGCCAGCACATCCTTGAGCACCTGCTGCTCCCGACCCTCCGTCACCAGCATCACCACCTCGCCGTTCTTCTTCCTCCCAGTGCGTCCAATTCGCTGCACGAATCGGGTGGGATTGGAGCTGCATATGTCGAAGCAGACGATCATCTCCACCTCGCCCACGTCGATGCCTTCCTCGCCGATCGAGGTGGCCACCAGGACGTTGCTGGTGCCTGATCGAAAATCGGCCATAATCTGCAGCTGCTGCTTCTGGGTGAGCGCATAGCTGGAGCCCACCGTGTGGCCTTGGCCCACAAAGCAGCGCGGGCGCAGCTGCGGTCTGTGCTGGAGGAGTAGGCGGTGGATCAGCATCACGGACTCCCGGTACTCGCAGAAGACAATGGCGCGCGAATCGGGATTGGCCTGTTGATTGGGATATTTAGAAAATAAGTTATAAAATAAAATGTAAGTTATAAAAGACTTACCGCAAAGTGCTTGATTAACACTTGTCGCAATTGCTCATACTTGGCATGGCCATAGTCCAGGTCCGCCGGCAACGCCGCCACTTCACCATTTGTCATTGCTCCCGTGCTGTAGTCCAGCGGATTGGCGCCCAGCTCCTGTCGCACCTGCTCCACCAAGTCCCTCAGGGCGCGATCCCTTGCCAAGACAAACTTCTCGCGCCCGTCCTCGTCCGCGTCGAAACTGTTGACAAACACCCGGAGGCCGTGGCGCTCCATCAGTTCCAGCGAGTGGTACATGCTGATGCACATGGCAAAGTTGCCCATTATGATGTTGTGGTCCGGGTGCCGCTGGCCCTGTGCCGAGGAGCGTTCAGCGAAGACTTTCTGCTCGTAGAGCAAGTTATTCTTGCTCATGCCCCCCTTGCTGCCCCTCAGAATGTCCGCCTCAATGAGCTGGCGGAGATATGGCTCGATAATCTGAAGCAACTTCTCCCGGGGCTCCTTGATCCTGTCCTTCAGGGAGACGACTATGGTGCGAATGGTCCGCCGATGTACGTAGGGCTGCACGTCGATCGAATTGTCCCACCGCACCTGCAGGCTGCATATGTAGAGGTTCTGGCACACCGAGGCCACGTCCTCCATGGTCCTGCCCGGAGTGGCGGACAGGGCGAGCATCCGGAAGTTTCGGTTGTGCGCCATCAGACAGTCGGCCACCTGGGTGTAGGCATAGCGCCCCTTGGCCCGGTGCGCCTCATCCACCACTACCAGCTTGATGGAGTTGAAGGGAAAGGTCGAGGTGCCGTCCGCCTCCAGCATGTCCGAGTGCACCACTTGCGGCGTGGCGAAGAAGACGCGCTTGGTGGCCCACAGCTCGGCTCGCTTGGGTCGCGCCAGCTGGCCTGCAAAACAAAGGAATATATTAACACTACAACTATACTATGATCTTCCTAAATCCTCACCCGTGAGCTGCACGGTGTCGGCTGCGGCGAAAGGCATTATCTTCTGGGAGGCATTGATCTGCTGGGCCACCAAAGGTCTTGTGGGGGCCATAAAAACGATCTTTCCCTGCGGATACCACCTGTAGAAGTTGTACATCACCACCGCTGCAATGAAGGTCTTGCCCAAACCCGTGGGCAGCACCACCAGGGTGTTCTTATAAAGCGCAGAGTGGACTATGCTGTGTTGGTAGGATCTCAGGGGCAGGTTTTTGGGGTAAATCCAACTGTTTCCGGTGGCCATATCGAAGCCCTCGCAGGGCTCTTCCGTCCCTGGCACCACATTATCTTCCTGGTGGGACGAAGTGATCATAAAGGAGGGGCTTTCTATTTTGAAGCATAAACAATTACCTGAGTTTCCTGCTGTTCATGTTCATGTACTGCCAAGGCCGCCACCAGCTCCTCATCGTTGAGCCAGTCGTCGTCCATGTTAACCGCTTATTTTATCGGCTGAAAATGCTCATTACAGCGATTATAGTTAGTGATTAAACAAAGCGATTAGATTGAATCTTATTTTGTTTTGTTTTGATTTTGTTTTCCGCCAGAACCAGTGTTACCAGATGCAACTTTTGCTTACTCTCTAAAAAATCCCAAAATCAAACATTTCCCTCTAAAAAATGGAGGGTATTCTCTTTTTTTATTATATATTATAAGATTTAATCAATATATTTAATTTTTTTATTTTATATAGATTTATGCGGAATGAACACCAAATCCAAAGAAACATATATAATTTTTCTTTTTAATAATTATCTATTATATATAATTTATTAAAAATTTTTTTCTTAAATATTCATAAAAAATTAATTGTTTATTTATTGTAATATTAACAAAATAATTGTTTATTTATTGTTAATATTACAATAAATAAACAATTAATTTTTTATGAATTTTTAAACATTTATTTATTTCTTTTTCATAAGAAACCCCTGGTTGCTCGATAGATCAGTGCTGTCATCTTTTGGGCTGAACTAATAATTTAAGTGGACATCCCAAAAATAGGCTTTACTTTCGTCTTATTTCAGTCATATTTTAATACCCTTGCAGGGTATTATAATTTCAGTCAGAAGTTTGCAACGCAGTGAAGGAGACCTTTCCGACCCTATAAAGTATATATATTATTGATCAGCATCAACAGGGGAATCTTTCTAGATATGTCAGGAAGAAATCGATTTTTTGGCCATTTTTGCAAAATTTTATAAGGGGTTACATCATAAAAATTTTTGATTTTGATAAAAAATTGAATTTTCAAAAAAAAAAGTATGCAGATTTATTAACTGTAGAAAATCTTGCACAAGTTATGATATTTTTAATTTAAAAAAAATCAAGAAGTTTTTTAATTTAAAAAAAAATCAAGAAGTTTTTTAATTTAAAAAAAAATCAAGAAGTTTTTTAATATAAAAAATCCGATTTTATAATACAAAATAATATTTTTCTAAGTCAAGGAATCATTTCCGACACCATAAACCATATATATTCTTGATCAGCATTAACATGCGAATCTTTCTAGACATGTCCGGAAGAAATCGATTTTTTGGCCATTTTTGAGAAATTTGATAAGGGGTTACATCATTAACATCATTTGGTATGCAGTTTTTTTAAATTAATAAAAACTATCACAAAACTGCTTTCCGAATCGAAATTAATGCATTTTTGGCTTAGTTATGATATATTTTAATTGTTACCTGCAAGGGTATACAAACTTTGGCAGGCCAAAGTTAGCTTTCTTTCTTGTTTTTTTAATATTAATTTATTTTCTTAAATGTCGATAGTGGAGGATACTGTCTTGTGGACACTGTGTTATTGTTATACTGATTTATTATGTTAAAACCAGGTTGGGGGGTCCTGAGGGTGGACTTAGTTTCCTAAGAATAAATTAAAATCTTATCTTACTGGTCTCCAACGATGTTCATCTAGTTAGAACTATCGAGGAAAAAGCACGTATTGAAAACAACAAAGTTATGTTTTTTTTTATTCTTGTAAACGTTCCTATGAAAGCTATATTTTATAGTTGTCTAACCCTTTTTGACTGGATACTAACTACAATATAAAGAAAGATATCTAGAGTGGTCCACCCATTCCGGAAACGGATATAAGGCACCGTGTCCACAGTCAAGGCCCATTAAAAGTCACCAGTTCGTAATTAGGCGCCCACACTGTCTGATTTAGCGAGTACTTTTGCGATATTTGTGAAGTAGATGTTGTATTTGTCTTAAATAAGGCGCTTCAAATGGCTGTAATGTTTTCTTTTAATGGTTTTTCATGTGGAAATAGCTTGGTAATTATTGAGAGTGCTCATTATAGGTAATGGTAGGCTAGATCTCATGACATCATGGACCTTATACATGTTCTCAGTTTTCATCTTTTATAAAGAAAAGATTTGAATATATTAAATAGGAAAACGCATAATCTATTACCTTGCCTAAAACTATCCCTTAAGCCAAAATCCAATGTCAGGCGAGGACTTGCATCCCTCCCGATGCTGGGATCGTAGATTGTAGATCAGTCACGCACTCAGGCCCAAGTTAAACGGAAAAACATACATAAATAGAGTGGCAATCTCATTTAGAAATCTCCACTGGCAGAGCCCAATGATCATTGACCGTGGATCGGAATCGGAGGGCAAAGGGAGGGAACTGTACTAAATATACCCAGATAAAAAGCACGGGCAAACAACGCTCGAAAAAGTAATTATATCGCATTATTTGTCATTTCGAGCAAATGAATTGAAACAAATTTAGTGTGACAAATGAATTGTTCACTTATATGGGGGTACGTGAGCTTGTAGTGGCGCTGGTGCAGGTGCAGGGCAAAAGGGCGGCACTGGCAGCGCAATGTTGGCAGCCACTGTGAGCGGGGGAAGTACAGAAATACATACTCGCGCGGGTACACGAGACACACTCAATTTGTTGGCTCTCTAGTCAATTTCATTTCATTTGCATGAAGTTCTCCGTCTCCGTCTCCGTCTGTTCGGGTCTCCCTCTGCACGTGTATGTGCGCTATCTGTGGGATATCTGTGGCCCATACAGGCATGCCGTTTGCCTAATTCAGCTTTATGAGCCATGTCTAATTACCAAATGAATTGTGCAATTATTTATTTTTGTTTATTAATTGGCCGCCGTACTAATGAGCCTAATGACCAAATATCCACGGCTATATATTTGTATCTAGGTGCATATATATACTTGTATTCAGATTGAGGCACATCCCATTTGCAGATGCGATGAGTCAGAGATTATCGCCGATGGCCAACATAAATGTCATGACTTATGAGGCCCTGATGCCGATCGGATGGGCTTGCGGTTGGCCAATATTTCTGCTCGACGCCAAGTCGCCAAGTTACGAGTATTGGTGGTTAAGATCATAACGAGCACTTTCCATACAAAGTTGCCTCTTAGCCGGAGCGGAAGCAGGCAGAACCATTTATGTAAAGTGCTTTCGGCCGGAGATGGATGCGTGAGGGCTTTCAGACACTCAAGTACCATGAGAATATAGGTTTAACTTTTAGCTGTTTTTATATTAAAATCCGTATTTCACTCTGTGGCTTGTGCAACTCATTAGCACTTATTAAAACTAAGTGCTGGGGACCTCGGGCGGAAATGGGCCTGGATTTGCGGTGCCGGTTACGATGCCTTGGCGACAGCTGCGCCAGTTGGTAATCAACATTTCAGCAATTGTCTGCCCGCGTTGCAGTGGAATTAGTGGCTGCAGTTGGAGCTGCAAGAGCCCGTTTGCCGGTTTCCAGGTCTTTGAGTTCAGCGGCGCGTGTCGCCAAGAGACAAACAAACAAACAAACAAACGAACAAAAAAAGAAACACAAATGCATTTCAAAATGGCTGCCAATTATCTGGGCTGCCATATTTGTTTCCCCCGGTTGTTGCCGGGCAATAAAACATTTCGTTTATTAGACAGCACACAGTGGGAAAATGTGATTATAACGTCTAGAAATATATATAACTTTTAGTATTACAATGCCTTATAGCTTATGAATCTAGAAAATTGTATTTTTCAAATATTAAATATAAAATAAAATTGTATTTGCTCGTTAACTCGATTGCCAAAAATTGCTGTCAAGTCGTGTCTTCGGGTAATTTGTTTTTCCAACACCTGCAGATACTCCGGTGTCCGGACACGCCCCATGCCGAGCCACAAACACTTCACACTTTCACAGGCACCAACAACAAAGCCAAAAAGGATGCGCCGCTGTGAATCAACAAAATTAAATAACAAATTGGTCAACACAATTTCATTATAAAGGCAATAGCCATCTCCCTCCGAAAATAAAATAAAAAACACATCAACCCTTCATCAGATTACCGGGCAGCTGCAGGCGCCGTCGCCCAGTCGATGCTCAAATCGATTATCCTGTGGCCAATCCTTTTGCATACGAATACGTGCCGCACCTGTTGTCATGGGCTAATCGAGCTGCGCTCCTCTAAGTGTGGTCTGCCATGCAAGCCTGATGACTATCGACTCTAATGGCGTCCAGGGCATCAAATTGACCGACAGCTTTAATGGGCGCCGAAAGAGACAGTTCTGGCCGGGGCTTGCGCCCTCTTAGCGTTAGCCTGCAAATTGGTCACGGCCAAGACAGGCCAACAGGATGTGCTCATGCCCGGAGAGCACGCAGCTCTCCGCCTCTCTACAGCTCGTCGGCGGTAGGTGTGAACTCTCAAAAACTGTGGCCGTTGCATAATTATATGCAATTTTATACCGAACACACAGCCCCTGCCCTTGATCTCTGATCCTTCCTAGAAGGCCGGGCTACCGAGTTACCTGCTGTGTTCTCCTGGCAGGGTTCTCCTTTCCATCGCAGCCATCAATGAAAGCCGCCTATTTGCTCGTCTAATATGCGGGGGAGTGACTTTTCTGGCAGCTGGGATAAAATATAAGGATCAGGACAATCCGCACGAGACACAAGTGCATTTTGTTACGAAAATAAATTATATAATTTGCTACCAGTTAATACAATTTTATTCCAGGAATTTTATAAAGATCTGTGTACCTGTGATTGCTTTGGCACACTTTTCTGATTGAGTTTTTATTGGGCTTATTCATCTTTTGACTTCTTTTCAGCTATATAAGATTTCTTTATGGTAATTTTCTACGATAAATTTGATTAGTGCAAAATAATATTTTGTTTTAACCTAAGAACACTAAACAATAATCCTTCATATTATTTAGTTTTCTTGGGTTGAAATGGTATACAAAATATTATATTGCACTTTTACACCAATTTTGTTAATATAAGAAAAATCGTATTTCATTTTTATAGATTTCCTACATTTTTTATAAGTTTTTGTATTAGCTTTAAAGGTTTTGCTTAATTTTTCATGTTTTTTTCCTCTTCCAAAGAGCATTATGATTTTAGTAAAAAGTGTGTCACGTAGTAAAGAAAACGTTTTGTTATCAAAACATTACAAATTAAACTTTTAAAGCATTTTTGACAATTTTATTATTATTATTATTTTTTTTTTTCGTAAAAACAAGGCTGGATTCACTCAGCTGTTAAAGCTGATCAGGATTAAATAGAATT